TCTGCCTGTTTGTGCTGCCACAGGGTGACCTGATTTCTCCACTTACACTTCGGTAAGGAGGACAGATGGCATTGTGCTTATGAGAGGATTATCACACGGCAAATCCATGTTCTTATCCCTTGCCAGGCAGAAGGTGAGTCAAAGGGAAATTGTGAACTAAGTTTCCCCCCGCAACTGAAGACAGTGACGGGAAACGAGGTTCAATGGTATGACTCATTAACAGAGATGTTGGAAGGTATGGAGTTATCTGACCCCTGCACTATCTGAAGGCAGCCCTGTACAGGGAGGGTGTTTTAACGTTTAATGCTTTAATATGTTTTTATATATGTTGGAAGTCACCCAGAGTGGCTAGGGCAACCCAGTCATATGAGCAGGGTATAAATAGTACTGTTGTGGTGGTTGTTGTTAATAGGAAATCCCTATTTTCATTCGAGAAATGTTGGAGGGTATGATAGGCTTGTTGGGTGTTTTTCATGATAGCTGTTTATTTACAAATATACATTATATAAAGATATATTTTTTTGTGAGGGAGGCACCAAGTACCCATACAGAGCTAAGCCACTTTCTTTTTAGCTGAACACATGCATATTATTATTATTATTATTATTATTATTATTTAGGACATCCATATTTTCATTGGAGAAACGTTGAAGGGCATGATAGGTTTGTAGGGTGCTTTTCATATTATTATTATTATTATTATTATTATTATTATTATTATTATTCCACCCTATACCTGGAGGTCTCAGGGCGGTTCACAAAACAAAATCAAAATAAAGGTAAAGGTAAAGGGACCCCTGACCATTAGGTTTAGTCGTGACCAACTTTGGGGTTGCGGCGCTCATCTTGCTTTACTGGCCGAGGGAGCCGGCGTACAGCTTCCAGGTCATGTGGCCAGCATGACTAAGCTGCTTCTGGTGCACCAGAGCAGTGCATGGAAATGCCGTTTACCTTCCCGCCAGAGTGGTACCTATTTATCTACTTGTACTTTGACATGCTTTCGAACTTCTAGGTTGGCAGGAGCAGGGACGGAGCAATGGGAGCTCACCCCGTCCCAGGGATTCAAACCGCCGACCTTCTGATCGACAAGTCCTAGGCTCTGTGGTTTAACCCACAGCGCCACCCGCGTCCCAAAAAATCAAAATACCAAACCACAAAATACGTAATCAAAATAAAAACAACAACAGCCCAATAACCCCCCTCCAAAAAGAGCCACATTTTAAAAGGGCATAGGATGTCAATAAAATCATCCAAAGGCCTGGTGAAAAAGGAACGTTTTTGCCTGATAGCTAAAGGTGTATAATGAAGGCACCAGGTGAACCTCCCTGGGGAGAGAATTCCACAGAAAGGGAGCTACTGCAGAGAAGGTCCATTCTCGTGTTGCCACCCTCTGGACTTCTCGTGGAGAAGGCACACAAAGAAGGGCCTCAGAAGATGATCAGGGTCTGGGTAGGTTCATATGGAAAGAGGCAGTCCTTGTGGTATTGCAGTCCTGAGCCATTTAAGGCTTTATAGCTCAAAATCAGCACTTTGAATTGGACCCGGAAACTAATTGGTAGCCAGTGCAGTCGGACCAAGATCATTCAATCTGCAAGCATGCCACAAATATGTTTGATGCAAAGTGGGTCAGGGCAATGGGGCTGCTCATACCTCTGGATTCGGCAGCCCTCTGCTGGTTAGTTTTTGAACTACTGTAATTGCTTAGCAATAATGGGAGCATATCGAAAGTTCACCCCACCCACACCGTGAAATGAAAGTGAGTGAATCACAGAGATAAGTGCTTAAAGGCCATTCATTGCCGTGTAGAATTCCCCAGTACTGAAACTGCTTTACTCAGAAGGAAATCTAATAAAAGATCTGCAAACATGCCACAGTTGGAAGTAAGTCCTGGAACTTACTTTTGAGTAGACCTGTATTGTGTTACATACACCTTTGTGCAAATTAACTGAAACAAAGCATGTTTTCTATCTTACTCGTAATCCTGTGCTCAAAATACAGTGGTACTTCGGGTTACAGATGCTTCAGGTTACAGACTCCGCTAACCCAGAAATAGTACCTCGGGTTAAGAACTTTTCTTCACACTGAGAGCCAGTGTGGTGTAGTGGTTAAGAGCGATAGTCTCGTAATCTGGGGAACCGGGTTCGCGTCTCTGCTCCTCCACATGCAGCTGCTGGGTGACCGTGGGCCAGTCACACTTCTTTGAAGTCTCTCAGCCCCACTCACCTCACAGAGTGTTTGTTGTGGGGGAGAAAGGGAAAGGAGAATGTTAGCCGCTTTGAGACTCCTTAAAGGGAGTGAAAGGCAGGATATCAATCCAAACTCTTCTTCTTCTTCTTCTTCAGGATGAGATCACGCGGCGGCAGAGTGGCAGCAGCGGGAGGCCCCATTAGCTAAAGTGGTACCTCTGGTTAAGAACAGTTTCAGGTTAAGAATGGACCTCCAGAATGAATTAAGTTCTTAACCCAAGGTACCACTGTAAACACGAAAAGTCAGTTGATCATTATGGTGTCGGAAGCCTGCAGCCAATAGAAGGAATGATGTGCTCGCCACAATATATTGAGGTTCTACGAAACAGTTATTCCAGAGCTGGAAAAGTGGTATCCTGACGGTACTGGGATATTGCAGCAGGACCTAACCCCCGTCACACATCGAAAGTGATGAAGGAATTCATGACAGAGCAGCAAATACAGTACTTGATTGGCCAGGGAATTCCCCATACGTAAGTCCCATTGAGAATTTGTGGACTATATGCAAAAGTCGCCTCTGTGCTGTAGACTGTACGACGATGGAGAAGCTCATTCAGGTGCTGATTCAAGTGTGGTACAGGGATCCGAAAATCAACAGTGACTGTTTGAAACTAGTAGACTCCATGCCTAACCGTGTTCAAATGCTGCTTAAAAATAGCAGAGGTCATATCCATTACTAATGTACGTGTTTGTGAGTTTTGTACATGTATATGTGAGTTTTGTACAATAAACTACACTGTTTGTTTCAATTAATTTGCACAAGGGTGTAGGTAAAAGAGAGCTAGGGTGGTACAGAGTGAGTAATGGAGAAGAAACAGGGAGGGGTGAGTTCAATTCCCAATTTCCCATGAATGGCACTTAGGCTTTCCTAGTTTACTCAGGAGGAAGTCTCATTGAACTCAGTAGGACTTACTTCTGAGTATAGGATTGGTCTATAAAGGAGCTTGGTTCAATTATTCACTTTACTCTAAGCTACCTCCTAGTTGCCAGTGAAAATAACATGGGGTAACCCCCTTGTATGCAGCCCTGAGCTCTTTGAAGGAAGCATAGGATAGAAATATGAAAATTAATTTAGTGAAACTGATTTCAGTGAGATGACCAGCCCTCTTAGCGGTGGCAGAGCAAAAAGGAAGAATGGAATCTGATGCTTTTGGAGTGGAAACAAGTTGATTGGTGAGAAAGCTCAATAGCAACAGATCTTCACTGAACAAATTCCAAAATAAAACAAGAACCTCTGGATATGTGGGCACAGTATTGGGCACTGGGCACAGACGCACGCCATCACCAGGGTTTGGGGGCTGCGCTCGGGCTCCCAACTGGCTCCCAGATTCACTGGCTGGGCTGCTGGGGCATGAAGTGGCAAGAGTTTATGTCCCTGATAATGGCAAGAATTGAGTCCCAAGGGCCCCCCGGACGCCTTGATCATCCAGCTGGGGGGGGGGATGATTTGGGCAAAGGAATTGACTTAATGTGGGTAATAATAATAATAATAATAATAATAATAATAATAATTTACCGTATTTTTCCATGTATAACATGCCCCCGTGTATAAGACGCTATTTTGGGGGGCTCCAATTTAAGAAAATGGGGAGAATGGCCCAGAGTTGTTGAGCTTTTTAAAGGGGGGAATGCATCGCAAGATCTGTCTACCATCTGTCCCCTTGTCGGCAGAAGCCGCAAATCACCCGCCCAATTGCCAAGGCGAAATCGGCACCAGCACATGACGCAGCCACAATAACACGCACAATAGCCGCTGACAATCAGTGTTGCACCAACCAATCCAAAGTCCTACCGATGCACTGTCTGTGGATAAGACGCCCTCCATTTTGAAACATTATTTTTTAATAAAAGATTCTGAATTCCATAACGTTGTGGCCTGTTTCGATCCCAACCAGACTTAGTGGTCTTTTATTTATCTGGGATTGGGGTCTGGAGAGCATGATGCAAGGATAGCAGAGCCATGACACCAACAGGGCAAGATACTCTGGGTGTATTCAGACACAGGAACAGTGCATCAGTTTTCCTAATTATAATGCTAACACTTCTGCCCTGTTTTCTAGTGTTATTTTCACACCGCAGTACTTGTTGCAATAGAGGTATGCGGGTGGCGCTGTGGGTTAAACCACAGAGCCTAGGGCTTGCCGATCAGAAGGTCGGCGGTTTGAATCTCCTTGACGGGGTGAGCTCCCGTTGCTTGGTCCCTGCTCCTGCCAACCTAGCAGTTCAAAAGCACATCAATGTGCAAGTAGATAAATAGGTACCACTCTGGCAGGAAGATAAACAGTGTTTCCGTGTGCTGCTCTGGTTCACCAGAAGCGGCTTAGTCATGCTGGCCACATGACCTGGAAGCTGTACACCGGCTCCCTCGGCCAGTAAAGTGAGATGAGCGCCGCAACCCTAATGGTCAGGGGTGCCTTTACCTTCTACTTGTTGCAATAAGGAATTGTGGCTTTGGGGCCAATATACTGGAATGTCACACTAAATTTCGTTCATGTACATGTAGTGTGGAAAAACCACAAACTTCATGCGATGTTCCTACATCTCTATATTCCCCTATGACTCCCCCATGAAAACAGCAGGAAAGGGTTGCTTGCCAGCATACGGTCTGCAAATTTCATCCCTTCACTCCCACAATTCTCTGGGGCTGCAAACAGATACAACCATGCACAATGTTGCGGAATGCAAATAACCTGCTGAAACTGAGTTTTTGGAACCCCCAGTTAGAAATCCAGATGTCAACGTCACTCAAGAATACCCTGTGAATGGATGGAGAAAGTTTAATGAGGGGATGAAGGCGGGAAGGGCGAGCTCAAAGCCATGTGCGTTTATGAAATGTGTGTGCCCAAATCTTCTGAAACTTTCACTTCAGTTGAGAGGAAGTGGTCCAACAGGAAGAGGTATGTTTGGATGTCTGGATCTCTGACAAGGCACACAGTTGTGTCGCTTGGCACTTCTGGTATTAATCTCTGTAAGACAAAGAGGTGAAGAATGTTCAACTGAAAGAATTTAGCATACATGTTAAGACATTTCTCCTCATGCTCTAGCTTAAGCCACGCTCCCTTAACTTAAAAAAGCTATAAATTTAGCTCTGGCCCTGTGCAGCAGAGAATAATTATTTCCCCTCTTCTGTATGACAGTCCTTCCAGAACTTGCAGAGCAACCTCAGTATTTTCTTCTCCTGTTTCCAGAACTTCTCTTCAGTCTTTCTTGTTCTTCCCTATTCCTGTTTGTCTAAATCCCATGATGTGAAATGTTGAGGGCAATGACTTTTCATAAAGTAACTGATTTTATATAGATATAGATGATATAGATATATAGATATAGATATATAGATATATAGATATATAGATATATAGATATATAGATATATAGATATATAGATATATAGATATATAGACATATAGACATATAGATACAGTGGTAAGGTAAAGGTAAGGGACCCCTGACCATTAGGTCCAGTTGTGGCCGACTCTGGGGTTGCAGCGCTTATCACTCTTTATTGGCCGAGGGAGCTGGCGTACAGCTTCCAGGTCATGTGGCCGGCATGACTAAGCTGCTTCTGGCAAACCAGAGCAGCGTACAGAAATGCCATTTACCTTCCCGCAAGAGCAGTACCTATTTATCCACATGCACTTTGATGTGCTTTTGAACTGCTAGGTTGGCAGGAGCAGGGACGGAGCAATGGGAGCTCACCCCGTCATGGGGATTCGAACTGCCGACCTTCTGATCGGCAAGTCCTCGGCTCTGTGGTTTAACCCACAGCGCCACCCGCGTTCCACAGATACAGTTGTACCTTGGGTTAATAACTTAATTTGTTCTGGAGGTCTGTTATTAACCTGAAACTGTTCTTAACCTGAGGTACCACTTTAGCTAATGAGGCCTCCCACTGCCGCCGCCGTGCAATTTCTGTTCTCATCCTGAAGCAAAGTTCTTAACCTGAGGTACTATTTCTGGGTTAGCGGAGTCTGTAACCTGAAGCATCTGTAACCTGAAGCATCTGTGACCCAAGGTACCACTGTATGGACATTCTCCTTAAAAAGTAGTACCCAAAGTGAGCTCTGCTCTGTTCCAGCTCCTGCCAACCTAGCAGTTTGAAAGCATACCAGTGCAAGTAGATAAATAGGTACCGCTGTGGCGGGAAGGTAAATGGCATTTCTGTGAGCTCTGGCACTCGTCCAGTTGCGCCAGAAGCAGTTTAGTCATGCTGGCCACATGACTAGGAAACTGTCTGTGGACAAACACCAGCTCCCTCACCTGAAGTGAGATGAGTGCAGCACCCCATAGTTGAACTCGACTGGACCTAACCGTCCAGGAGTCCTTGACCTAAGCTTTACCTTTACATCAGAAAAACCTGATGTCACGCAATTGCAGTAATTTATAGCTACCATCACAGTTTTGGGATGGTATTTCCTATGCCATCCATACTGAAAATTTTATGAGTTAGGAAGCAACAAATGGCATGAGGCTTGGCTCCATGAACGAGTGGGTTGTGAGTGGCTACTGCTTCCATTTCCCTTAGTTTCATATACAATTATACAAGGGATTATTATTATGACCAGAATGTAATTGAGATCAGTAAGATTTTGGAACACAGAAACAAGGAAAATAATCAAATCATCAATTCTAGCACGTGGGGGGGGCACCTTACCTGAATTATATAATTTGGTTAAATGATTGATATTGGTAATTGTATTATAAATTGGTATTGTTATAATGAGGCTATTATTGGATTATAATTGAAAATCAATAAAAAATTATTATCACAATTAAAAAAAAGTTCCTTTAGTTTCATTCTAGTTTCTGTCAGTGGGCGTTTGGTGTGGTTTGCATTAAGGAATGCCCGGCGGACGCCCATATCTTTGTTCATCATTAACAAAAGCATACTTCTCTTGTGATGTGCAGTCTTCATTTTGTGGCAGCAAATTCTTCTACTTTTAGGACCTAGGGAATGATTTTAAAAAATGTTGCTGATAAATATTAGGGGAAAATATAGATAGATACCAGTAGATAGATAGATAGATAGATAGATAATAGATAATAAGTTGTGAAAGCATCAAACAGCACTTCAGACAAGTTTGTTCTGAATCCTGGTAGGGTGCAGTAAATAACTAAAATCATATACAGTGACTAACAGAACAGAAATTTTAAATTCTTACAGCAAAACTTTGCAGCTCCCGCCTTGATCAGTTGCTCTAATAAGAATGATGCCATTTCCAAGGGAGCAGTTCTAGAACTTTGAAGATGGAATGCAATTATTGATGAATCCTACAGGCTATAGAGCTGCCTGCTACAGAGAGGCCCAGAAATTCAACAATGTAGCAACAAGGGAGAACTTCAGGATGGATATGCCAGACATGTTAAGCCTTGCATGGCCTCAGCCTGGAGGATAGAACCAGCATTGCTTAGCTTCGGCAAATGAAGGTCTTCTGAGCACTCCCATCCTCACAGCTGTAGAATTGCCACCTTAAGAACAGATGCACTTTTATAGGGGCAATGGATGAAGGTGGAAGCTGAAGTGTTTTGCTGTAAGAATTTGAAATGTCTGTTTTGGAACCCAAAACCCCACACTGGATTTCTCCCCCAGAGGTGAAGGCTGTTAAGAAGAAAAATATGAAAGGAAGCTGGTTGACGTAGAACTCTTTATTAACAGAGGATGGTAATCAATTAAAGCTTAAGAACTATGATGAAATTAAAAATCAACTTTTGGGATGGCTACAGTACCACCAACTCTTCGAAACATTGAAGCAGTGGCGTAGCGTGGGGGGTGCAGGGGGGCCCGGCCGCACCGGGTGCAACTTCTGGGGGTTAGGGGGTGCAAATCCACAGGTTAGGGGGCGCAAATCCACGGGTTAGGGGGTGCAAATTACTTGCCTTGCCCCGGGTGCTGACAACCCACGCTACGCCACTGCATTGAAGCAAGATTAAAAAAACGGTTTTGTCACTGAGCCCTCTAAATTCGAAAGAGAATTACTAAACAATAATACTAAGATAATTTCAAAGGTGTAGTGACTCCTCCTTGACTGGGAAGTCAAGGAGGAGGTGGTTAAGGCAGTGGTGATAAAATGGGCTCAGGACATAGGACACAGTATCCCGATGAGTGAGTGGGAAACTCTACGGAAAGCAAATATGAACTTCACAGCATGTTATACCATTAAAGAAAATCTGATGAAGATGCAATTGAGAAGGTATTTTACTCCATCAAAACTCTCAAAGATGTATAAAGATATCTCAAATAAATGCTGGCGGTGTGGGGAATTTGAAGGAGATATGTATCACATGTGGTGGACATGCAGAAAAATTAAAGAGTTTTGGAATCTCATTTATGATGAGATGAAAAAGATCTTCAAATTAACATTCTTTAAAAAACCAGAAGCCTTCTTGCTTGGGATGTTAGGTAAAGATATACCAAAAAATGTAAAAGAAATCTTTCTATATGCAACAGCCGCAGCCCAAATACTGATTGCAATGTACTGGAAAGGGGGGAAAGTACCATCTTTATTGGAATGGCAGAATAAATTATTAGAATACGCAGAAATGGCACAGCTGACTAATAGAATAAGAGGTAAAACAAAACAATCATTTATTCAAAAATGGGATATGTTTAAGAGATATTTACAAAAACATAATAGTGGTATAATATCTATGGCAGCATTTGAATGACCCCTGTGTAAATTAACAAACAAGAAATAAGAAAAACTGGTATGACTGTTGTAAGAAAGTATAAGAAAATATAAAAAGATTAAGGTAATAATGATAAGTACATTTGACATTAGAAAGGTAAAATACATCGGGAAATGATGGGAAGTCTATTATATCTTTGTAAGAAGTAAGGACAAAAGAGATTATATAAGTTTGAACCAATTTATTTCTGTAAATTTACATAAGATTGTTTGTACAAGATTGTTTTCTTTTTTCTTTACCTAATATTGTTTATGATATCTACGAATTTCAATAAAGTATCAAAAGAAAGCAAGCAAGAAAGAAATGTCTGTTTTGTTAGTTACTTCTCTCTCTCTCTCTCTCTCTCTCTCTCTCTCTCTCTCTCTCATCTATCTAGAGAGTTATGTCAGTTATGAACAAGATAGGAAGGGCTTTGGCTTATTTAGTCAGCATTTATCCTGATTTGCTTACACAGAGGTTAGATTATATCCATTCCTTATTGAGCATTTGTTCAGACTTGCTTGCAGGGTGGTTATATGACAATAAGCATTCATCCTGCATTTGCTTAACGGATGCTTATGCATCTTCCTGTTATTCATTCATCCCACACTTAACCATGCATTTTCCCATCACTTTCCTAACTGCAATACGTCTCATCATTTTTTTAAAAAAGTAGATTTGTTGCACTCGGGTGATGGAGCATTTTAGTGCACTCAGATTGCACAAACCTAAATGCACAGTATGTGCTTGAATCCCTCCTGAAAATTGGTGTGCTCTAGCACCCTAGTGCAACAAATCCACTTTAAAAGGGAGAGAGAGAGAGTTGGGCACAAAGCATGCTAGATGCAAAGAGCCAAGAGGCAGAGGGATTGAGCCACTATGAATAACCAATAAATACACAAGACGTAACCGGCTGTGCTTTTGAATAAATAAAGTATACTATTCATTGTATCAAATTGTAGATTTCAAGATCTCATAAATTTCAATGAAAAAAGCAGAAGACCCAGTGGATCAGTTCATTCTCTAGTCAGTTCATGCATAAGGCCCATACATGTATATTAGCCTTATTTTGCCATCCTAGGCTTCATCAGGAGAACAGGCTCATATGTAATATTACAGGATAGTGGATCTTATAGCATAGTAATGGTTACAGTCTGTAACAACCCTTCATGTGGATTATTGGACTCTATGAACAGACAGGTGGAATAGACACTTATACATGTAAGACCTTATGCATGAACTGACTAGAGAATGAACTGATCCACCTGCTTTTTCATTGAAATTTATGAGACGTTGAAATCTACAGTTTGATACAATGAATAGTATACTTTATTTATTCAAAAGTACAGCCGGTCACGTCTTGTGTGTTTATTATGTTTCACGTAACCATAGGTTTGTTGTTGTTGTTTTACTATGAATAACCAGCCAAGAATGAAAATCTGTAATGTACGTAAAGAAAGATAAGGATGAAAGATTGGTGACAAACTTCGCTCCCTCTGCGAGCAAACTTAGTCTTATAGAAGTACAGCAAATATTTATTTTTAAGGGGTTGCCTCTGGCACATGAAGCTAGCCAAATGAGGCCACAGAATTATGAGTTTCACTTGCGAAGAAAACTGGGCGGTGGTTGGCTGGCAGGCAGGCACTCTGAAATGAGGGCACCTCTTAGGTTGTGAGGAGACATGGCAGCGTTTTGTTGTTGCCATTCCTACTTATGAAACGAAACAAAAACAGGTGTTGTAGAGGTTAAATTCTAGGCTCATATTCTGAAGACTGCAGAAGGAAGCCCAGCAGTGTGGCCTGGAGAAACAGAGGATGTGTAGCTTTCCGTGATTTTACTCAGATTGCCATCAGAAATGCATCTTTAACACAACTAATTATTATTTTTTAAGTTTCTTAAGCTGTTTTCAGTGTATTTTAAATGCTCGTCACCCACCCTGGGAACCACAATTTTCAGAATATTCACTGGTGAAATAATGGTTCTTTATCTTTGGCAGTCTGAGGGCAATTCCCCCATTCCCCATGTTTTGGTTATTCTTTTCACGCATATCACTAGTTATGAGGTATACAAAATAATCCCCATAAGTTCCGATATACTTCTCTTTGCTCTTTTCAGTCACTGGTGTGCTGCTTCTCCACAAGATTGTGTCCAAAGCAACTTGCAAGATAACATTTTATTTTATTTTTTTAAGTACAATTCAGAATATAATATGAAACACAGACCACCTGAATGAAACTCGTGGACCATTGGTGGTCTGTATACCACTGTTTTTGGGAACCCCTGACATAAACAATTGCAGATATCAATCACAGAATCAATATAATATAAAAAGAAAGCATATGGAACAAAAAAAATACAAGCAGGCTAATAATTTTATGCCAACCATGAACAAATAATGGAGCAGATGTTTGAATCTTGTCGTAAGTTCCACCCTGTTCCCCATGCTACAACCTGAAATGGCCTATTTGGGCATAGGATATTCATTTATTTAAAAATAAACCAATATTTATTTGATCTGAATATATTATAAAATATATTTTATAAGTATATTTAATATAAATATTAATTGCACTTTCATATAAAGTATCATTCAGACTAAAAAACACACATTATGACAGCTAACGCATTGGTAAGAGCTGCTTGGCAAAGGATCTCAGGTTTGAAAGGCCTGTGTGAATAATCAGACATCTAAAAATGAGCAAGTGCCGTATTGGCCCGACTATAAGCCGTACCCTCAAATAATTTGCACCTTTAAAGTTCAAGACTTATTTGCTGGTGCGGCCCACCTCGCGGCACTACCGCCCTGATGGCAACAGAGCACTGGGTCGGAGAGACTTTTGGCGCAACCCGGCAAATAAGTCCTTGTGAAAATAAAGCCCAGCTGTGGAGTCCATAGCTTACCTGCACTTTCAGCTGAAAAGGTCCCGAGGCAGAGAATCAAGATGGCTAGGAAGCCGAGGAGTTTCAAAAAATTCATGGTTCTACCCGGCTGCAGACTGTCACCCAAAGAGACTCAGGCAGTCGTTGCTGTTCACCAACAGCGATGCAACGTTTATTTATCGGGGCGGCTCGGTATGATAAAACATGATTGCCGTAGGAGCCTCGGCCTTTGTACTGGTCTATTCAGGATTAACAGATAGCCAACTCTTGCTCGCACGCTCAGAGCTGGATGTCTGCCAATATATATATATCTATATCATAAAGCAGTTTCACTGCTCAGATCGGGGATTTTGGGACTAATAAATCAAACCCCGCTTCCCTGACAGGGAAGGCGGAAAGAGAGGGAGGCCTTGCGAGGGGAAAAGGTCTACTTGTTTCACAAGCCTGGAGACTTTTATAGGATTCAGGGAGGACAATTGCTTTCTCCAATCAGGAGACTACAGTTCCCATAAACTCTGTCCCTTGACAGAGGGAGTGATGTTTTTCACCAATTTTTCATCCTTGATTATCCTTGATTATGTACATTATAGAAGCAGGACATTCCAGGATCGCATCAGAAACCAGGACAGCCTCTGTCAATCCAGGACTCTCCCTGGAAAACAGTGACACTTGGAGGGTCTGAGATGTATAGTGTTAAGTTGTGGGTGAACATATCAGACGACACAGCAATTCTTCAAACAGTTCTTGTTTATTCACAGGCCAGAACAGAACTGAACCGAAGGCTTCAGTCAGCCTGCTTATATAGAGCTCCAGTGCAACGTAACTGTAACAATTTTCTAAAACTATCCAATCACTGAACGTCACTTTCGATCCCCTATTTGCATAACTATCTACAGTATCCCCCTGCTGGGGGGTGAGAACTTCAGTACATAACATATAGCTTTATTCCATAGCAGTAGTCATACTTCAGCCCACCAGATATTTTGAACTGTAACTCGCACTGTCCCTTCATCTGGTTGTAAATATTAAGATTATACCAGCAAGAATGATTCTTTCGGGGGGGGGGGGAGATTTAAATCAAGTCTTACTGACTAGTGATTTAAATCGATTAGATTTCAATCAAATCCACCCTGGTGGCAAGCAATCCTGTGTACATTGAAGCATGTGCAACACACAATCATCTAATGCCAGTGGGCTTTTTCCGCGTGCAGAAACCTATTCCCACAATGGATCACTCTGGTAGAGTGAATATTATCATTAACATATTGGCCCAAATATAAGCCACACCGGCAAATAAGCCGCACCTCAAAATTCAAGAGGAAAAAAAGAAAATACCCGAATATAAGCCTCTCCCTTAAAATTGGGTTACAGGCTGAAAATTGATGTGGTTGGTAGAATCATAACTCCAAGCCAATTTGAGCCTTTGATCTTGCAAGTCTGCAAAAGTTACCGTACAATCGCTAAAATCGCAAAACGATATTCAGTTGCGACAATTCCGCAGGCTCTCACACCCGTAAATGGCAAATGAACAGTCTTAAGCTTGCAAATCGGCAATAAAACTTTCGTTGTTGTTCCACTTTACTGTATGTCTGTTTCAGCAGCAATATCATAAAAGCCAATTTTTCTAAGGTCCTGAATTTGGAAAAGAGGTGTGGCTTATATTCGGGCCAATAAGGTATTTAATCTTAATTTTTACTGTGCATTATAGAATAGTACAACAGGTGACAGGGGCGGGAAATGAACATCATATATTAATTTATTAAACCAACAAAAATAATATATACGGTCTTAACATCTTCTCTAAATCTGTCACTGCCGACAGAAATAATATTACCCATATTTCAATACATCTGTTTTCATATGATCCCCTCCCCCCCGGCACAAGTACATATTAGGTTAATTTATGACACTGTGGCATTCCAGGATCAGAGCATTATGAACTGTAAATAATAAAATTCTAAGACAGCACTATAATGTTGGAGTTTATGATTAACAGAAGGATTTGAACCTTTGCAAATACTTTTGTAAAGCACCTCCCGGGCTGAAGGCATGCAGTCTCATCAGGATGGTGTCAAAGTCCAGAAGGCCATGCATAATGAGTGCTTTTAAAAAACAATGAAGTTCAAAATAAGGTGTGACAGTAGCACACCTTTCTTTGCTCAAAGGAGCACAGCCATTGTAGATGCCTATGATTCACAACCCATCAATGGTTTCAAGGGACTGGGGGTCAAAGCTTTCGTTTCCCCCTGTGGAACACTCAAATGCACCACAGACATTAAAGCTACAAGAAATTTTTGGAGGGTTTTTAAAAGGCATTTTCGGCACTATTTAACCCCTGTGGCTGGTTTTACAGGGCATTTGCCCAATTTCTGAAAACTAATCTGATGGCTCGTTTTTTGGCCTACGTGGAAACACGGCGTATGCAGCACCAAACTCTGCAGGGGGCAATTTGCAGGTGTTTTGTGCCGTTTTCGAGTGAATCAGACGTTGGAATTTTGGCAAAAACTGTGTCAGGGCACTGAGGGCTCATTTTGGGGCCCACCAGGAAATGCAGCACCTGCACCGGTTCACTCGAAAATGGCGCCAAACATCTGCAGATTGGCTACTGCAGCATTTGGTGGTGCATACGCCATGTTTCTACGTAGGCCAAAAAATGAGCCATTGGCGCTCTGACCAGGGGGTCACGGTTTTCGCCAAAATTCCGACATCGTATACGATTGTGTATCATCTGACCCATCTACTGCAATTATTAAGTTTGCAGATGACACCACCATAATGGGTTTAATAACAGGTGGAGACGAATCAGCGTATAGAGGGGAGGTCCAAAAAATATCTACATGGTGCCTAGGGAACAACTTGCACCTTAATATCAGAAAGACAAAGGAGATGGTGTTGGACTTTCGGAGGGAGCTATCCCTGCTGTACATTGGGGAGGGCTGTGTGGAAAGAGTCTCTTCCTTTAAATTCCTAGGAGTTTACCTCAGTGAAGACCTTACTTGGAAAATCAATACAACCCAGGTGGTTAAGAAAGCTCAACAGAGACTCTATCTCCTCAGAGTATTGCGAAAGAACGATGTCAATCAACATTTGATGATCTCCTTCTACTGGTCCACAATAGAAAGTGTCTTTTCATACTGCATCATGGTGTGGTACACTGGTTTGACATCATCTCATAGGAAGTGCCTACAGAGGGTGGTGAATATAGCATAAGATATTATGGACTGTCCCATGAATCTGCTGGATGACATCACGGAAGAACGTTGCATCAGGAGAGTGAGGAAAATTCTTAGGGATGATTCACACCCTGGCCGGCACTTTCTTGATCTCCTGCCCTCAGGCAGAAGATATAGAAGCATGATTAGTTGCACCAACAGGGTAAAGAGCAGCTTCTATCCATGGGCTGTTAGGCTGCTGAATGAAAAGATAACAACAGGGCAACTGACTTTCGGGTTTGGTGGATGTGCATCAGTAAACGAGGGGAATTAAGCCTAAGAGAGCTGAGTGGGGGGTGCTCATGTAATCTCACTGTATACAAATTGTACAAGTGACAATAAAGTATTTCAATTTCAATTCCTTCAAAAATGGCACCAAACACCTGCAAATTGGCCACTGCCTACCAGGAAAAGCGACGTTTGCACTGCCAAACGCTGCAGGTGGCCATTTGCAGGTGTTTGGCACCGTTGTCGAGTGACTCAGACATCATTTTATGGCCTACTGTGAAACGTGGCGTTCACAATGCCAGAGGTTGTAGGGAACACTTGCAGGTGTTTGGCGCCGTTTTGGAGTGAATCGGACGTTGTAATTTTGCCAAAAACCGTGACCTACAGGTCAGGGTGCCGAGGCCTCTTTTTTTTGGCCTACCATAAAACGTGGTGTTTCCACCACCCAAAGTTGCAGGGGGCCATTTGCAGGTGTTTGGTGCCGTTTTCGAGTGAATCGGACGACGGCGGAATTTTGGCGAAAACCGTGACATGCAGGTCAGGGTGCCGAGGGCTCGTTTTTTTGGCGTACCTGGAAACGTGGCCTATCTGGCACTGGTTTTGGCCTACCAGGCACCACTTTCAGGTGAATCGGACGTAAGGCTGCAGGTAGCCAAGAGCCTGTCCCAGATAGGTCAGCCCTTCAAGAACAAAATGATGGCATCCTGTGGGGTGTAGACATGAGCCAGCCCCCTCCCCTTTTCCCAGTGTACCAGGGACTCAGCTATATAGCTGCAGATAAAACGTTTTAAGTTTGTTGTAAGGTGCAATATACAAACGTGACACTAGATGGTAACAGTGAGCTATGGTAATTTCAATTTATTTTTCGAAACGTTAACATAAAGCATTTTCACATCATTTTTTATATGTGTGTAGATTCCATCCAGAACCTCTGGGAGTGCTGGAGCAAGCTTTTCAGGTTCCCTACACCTGGGCAGGTGAGGGAGTTGCTGATGCTGGATTCAGGGCATATACCAGGATCCCTTGCACAAGTGCTCAGGGTCCCCAGACTCTGATGGGTCTGCAGAAAGACCCATCTCCAAAAACATGTCTCCTCTCAAGGAAAACCCCTTCCGACGGTTTTAGCGACTTCCAAAGGCTCCCCACCCTCCCCAACAACATCCAGAAGCCTCTGAGACTATAGGTGTAAAACACAAGGAAACAAAAAAAGCCCAAAATATGGATGCCTGGTGAAGCGAAAGGAGAGCTCTATGGAGCTGGCAGATTACTAAACAGAGTACGACCTGTGAACACTCAATTTTCCCCTAAAAAGGAGAAAAGTATATGCCTTCAAGTATATGAAAAGCGTTTTTAAAAGTACAGTTTTAAGTAAAGTATCTCTGTAGCACCTTACAGAAAACAAGACCAATAAATTTCTCAGCTAAGACTTTATTGTTTCAGAAGCTGGTACAAGCACAAATGGCAAAAGCGGATGGAAAATAAAGTTACTGAATTGCTGTGCCACAATCCTTAAAAATAACAGACGAGTACTATGGTAACAAAGAGGTCCAGCAATTTCCAAAATAACTTCTGTTCCGTCTGATGAATGAATTCACATACATCTGCTTTCCCAGCTTTAAAAAAATATTCTTTTCAGAAGTGTGGCTCTTGAATTAGACATCTTTTAGAAATCAGTGTTCTGTAAAGGAGGCTACATGTCTTTAGTTAAATATCAAAAGAAACTGCCAGTCGATAGGTAACATTTTGAGCCCGGAATAGAGGGATGAGGGCTTCAAAGTTAAAATTGTGTCCCAGTTTGACTTTGAAGGAAAATGCAGGTCAGAAATGCTCAGATTGATTCCTTTACCCTTGCTGTTAGCGATAGCGAAAAGCAACTCTTGAGTTAACCTACACTTCAGCGTTGCTTCCACAATTTCTTCAAAGAGAAGCAACACTTAGCTGATGGCATTTGTGTGATAGTAGTACAAATACAATATAGTCTGCTGGTAAGTTCCCCGATTGTCTGCAAGGGAAAGCAAAGAGGATCCTAACAAATATCCTTTTAGAGATTTTATTTTATTAGCCATTTCTGTTATCAGTCCCGAGTATGTTACATTCAGTTACCACCAAAGAGTATGCTGCGGAGCACAATCTGTTGCAAATAACTTCCAAATACAGCTCCCTTTGACGTTAATTTTGGTTTAAATGCAGCGCCCTTTGGGTCTGCTCCTATATACGGAGTTAAGACCACAACTTCACCTTTGAAGAGGAGGAAGTTAAACTTACACCGGCTACAAATCTACATATTTTAAAATAAACTTCTTACACATTTCCAAACCCCCCCAAATCAGGGAGAAATGATTTAATGGCATGCAGCAATTTACTTTCCACTCGTGTTAAGATCCAAATCACATTACTCCGAAAACACCTTAAAAGGTCATGTGGAAGTGCTAGGAATATCTGACTGCTACATGAAAGCTGCCTCCAACCCAGCGGCAGTTTTAGGAGATATAATGTGCTAATCAGACAAGCCAAAGTTTTTGGTGAGCTATCAGTTTGGCCCAAGGAAGGAAGTTGTGGTCTATTTTCTCCTGTTGCCACTGCCGGTAGCAAGCATGGTGGCGACTCTGATGAAGATGTTTAGAGTATCCATGTATATACCCATACACCTGAAAGACAAGAAAAGCAGCCATTAGTTCAACAAACTTTCCTTGTCCTCTAGCAAGGAAAAAAGAATGATGCAAATGATTTGGCACAGCACCCTGGTGTTCAAACTGAAGTCCATTCGCGGTTTTGAGACAAAAACACAGCAAACTAAGTTCACGGACCTTACTAGCGTATACAAACAAATATTAGTGAATACTATCCACAAATGGCTTCCTCCCCAGTCATCTGTACTCCTCTTGTATACTCCTTGCTGCCACCAGTACAGTCGTACCTTGGATCCCAAACGCCTTGGTACTCAGATGCTTTGGAACCCAAACGTCCAACGGGGATTCCAATTGGCTGCAGGAGCTTCCTGCAGCCAATACAAAGCCGCACTTTGGTTTCCAAATGTTTTGGAAGTCGAACAGACTTCCGGAAGAGATTCCATATGACTTCCAAGGTACGACATTTGCAAGCTTTCTTGCAGAATGGCCTGGAAATTGCTCTCCTTAAACTAGGTAACAGCTGTTCTAAGCCTGTAACACAAAGGGTTGTTTTTACTGGCGATAGCTAATGAAAATCAGAGGTTGCCTATTGCACACGGCCTCCTGGTGCAGCTGCTCCTCATCTTCCTAACCTTCTAAGAAGCAATCACTGAAAAGAATGACAAGGCACCCTTTATTAAAAGGTCTGGCGGTTCCCTCATTGCGAGAAGCAAAGCTACAGGGAACCAGGCAGAGGGCCTTCTCGGTAGTGGTGCCCGCCCTGTGGAACGCCCTCCCATCAGATGTCAAAGCGATAAACAACTACCTGACATTCAGAAGACATCTTAAGGCAGCCCTGTTCAGGGAAGTTTTTAATGTGTGACATTTTAGTGTATTCTTGGTCTCTGTGGAAGCTGCCCAGAGTGGCTGGGGAAACCCAGCCAGATGGGCGGGGTACAAATAATAAATTATTATTATTATTATTACTATAGACTTCTAGGCAGACCTAAACATAGCATGCACAGTTTGCTTGTATTCCAGAAGACTAGGATTCTCTAAATGTTTCATTTGCGTCACGTTTATCAAGAGGAAGCACTTACATGTTGATGGGGTCATACTTTTGCATCCCTACGCCATACAGAGGTTGAGTTTCTGCACGGTGTACGACTTTCTGGGTGTCAAAGAGCAGGAACATGCTGAAAAGTATCAAGCCACCGTAAACAGCGACAGAATAGAGGCCGGCGCCAAAAGCAGTCGTAGGAGGAAAGAACATTGATCCTGGAAGATATACACAAAGGCTATCAAGAACCAAGTATGCATTTTGGGGGGACACACAGTTATGCCACATGCAAACAGTGCTTTCATATGCAAAATGCACCATTGAACGGAAAGCATTATCTAAATAAGATATTGATCATGAAATCACTGAGGACACGTTACTTATAATCAGCCTCCCTTTTTCTTACTTTAGATGTCCGATATTTGCTCTTTACAAGCTCACTGTGGGGCGGGAGGGAGAGCCAGAGCGACATACAAACCTGAGTAGGTCTGATTTCAAACAGAACATTTTTAATATGCCGAGAAATGTAGATGGCCAACCATCAAAAATGTACATAACACAAATTTTCGGAACACATGTGTTAATGTAAGGGGTTTATGCGGCCAAAGCTAGCAGAGATAACTTTCCTGGCACACAGCCATTTCTGTCTTGAAAATTTATTGCCAAAAGTTCAAAGCTGTTACAAGAGTTCAAAAACACGTCCGTGCCTAGCTCAATCAGATGTCTCGACTGCCAATCTTTTACTCCTCCTCCCCCAGCAGGCCCATCGCCATAGTGCACCCCTCCTACTTCCTCTGATCTGGGAGAAGCTAGTTCCGGACACTGGCTCCCCCCTCCCTATTTCCTCCTCTGAGTCGGATGAGAGACTGCTGATAAGCTCTTTAGGCTCTCTATAATTGCCTCTCTCCCCTCTCAGCTTTTCAGCCGTTCCCGCTTCCCTGACAGTTAAGGAACAGATGGAATGCATAAAGCAAGCTTGATTCTAGGCAGGTCAATCACACTCTACACCCAACATCATCCACTGACCAAGGGAAGAAGCAAGCACGAGGCCAAAGCCCACTCCCAGTGGCGCTCCCATGTTCAGAAACTTCTCACTCGGTGCGCACATAGCCACAGTCGAGAGACCACCAACGATTCCTGCTGTGTACCAAGCAGCTCGAATAAGCAGGGGGCCACCCAGTAGAGTAAGAGGAGCCACAACGGCACCCATGACACCTGAGGGAAGAAAGAGGCACAAATATTAATTCAGTTACTCAACTGCACCCATGGCACATCAAGGCTTTTAAGGACTGCGAACAGAAACCGAACTTAGAGGAGCTTAGACTTGCCATCTATTTAAATCGCCTGTTGCTGTTTTAGTTCGAACTTTTTATGTTTTACTACACTGTCAGCTGCCCTAGAAACAAATCAGTGTTGTAAGTTTGGGATACAAGTTAGATAAATGGGAATACGTATTGGGCAAAGTTAACTTAGGGTTGCCATATGTCTGGATTTTCCCGGACATTACTGGGATGTCAAAGCCATCTTAAGACGTCAATCGAAAAATCACGGTTGAAAAACGCTTTTGGGTTTCCCCTAAAAACAGCTCAACAATTTTGGGATCTTCCTAAAACAAGCTCAACAATGTTCAGGGTGTCCTGGTTTTTACTTTTTGAAATATGGCAAACCTAGTTAACTACCGACTGGTGATGAGGCAATCACATTTTCACCCTGCTGCAACGTTGGCCTCAAGTGCCAATATTTTAAATCACCCCAGGCTTCCTCAGATTGGAGTTCCACAACACCCTTATGAGTCAACAACAACCCAAGTCTATGCTAGATGCCATGAAAATTTTGTAGAACTGAACACTGCAAGGGAACTGCAACAGAAGCTCTGGATCCCATCTGACCCCCTCCCCCCCCCCCCAGACTGCAAGATGTCTATGACAAAAGTGTCTCTCCCTAAATGTAAATGAACTGAGAATAAGACTCTATGAATTTAAAGTGGAGAGAAGAGACAGACTGTGAAAGGTACATATGTTTTGTAATAGAAAAATTCCTTAATATATATATTTTTAAAAACCACTTCCATGCATGCATGAAGACTGTCCAGCTTATAGCAAGTTATCCCTTGCCCTTCCAGGGGTGCTATTCTTGAGGGATCCAACCTTTGGACCCGAGGGCTTTGGGGGGGGGGGCAGAAAGAAATGACACCAGGAGAAGCCAAGATTGCCACATATGGATGTGGAACTGCGTGCATGGTGTTTGGAACCTGATAACTGCATGTTTAAATATCTTCACACTAGATGGCATGTGTCTTTAAGGCCAGTGTTTCTGGGTATAGGGCAGTATATACATTCTAACAACAACAACAACCACCCTTGATTGCCTCCCTCTAAATGTATTTTAACCTCAGCACTATTCTACAGCTCCACACCAAATCAGCTGGATTGTCAAGTATGTTTCTGACTGCAAGTGAGAACTATCCATCCTTCAGTGAATCAATAAATAAATCAGGGAGCTGATCAGGGGAATTCTCAACGCAACTTACATTTGAGGTCAACAACAGCAACAACAATAATTGTTTGGGAAAACCAGAAGCCACCTACCTGCGTGCAGCATCCAAGCCAGATGTTTAGGGACAGGGCTCTGTTCATAATCTATTGATCTAACCAGCATTCCAGCACCAATCATTGCAGCAAATGTCGCACCAATTGCCTGTAAAAGATTGTTGTTATTACTAGCAAATTGTTTTATATTTTGGGGTTTGTTTTTGTTTTTTTACTAAGCATTTTACAGCTGACTAAGGTTCACTTATGATACGGCAATATTCACTCGGGGTCTTTCCCCAGATAACATAGTAGGAAATTATACTCGTGTCACAAAGGTCCTATTCAGGCAGCTTCATCCAATTCTGCTTTGGCAATGGCTATACTTGTGCAATACATCTGCTTCCTAGCCAGTGTGTTTCAGTCACACATAATTTTGCCGAAACCTTCCACGCAAAGACAATATTTGACTAAATTAGCGGCAGCTCCCTCTAGTGGGCACAATGGATCTTCAGGTTGTTTTTTTTGGCAAGATGGCAGATACTGGGTGTTTTAAAAAGTGAGATTTGAGGCTTATGCTGCAGTCCCATCCATCTCTATTCAGAAATAAATCCCAGAGAATTCAGTGGAGCATATTCCCACCTAACTGGGGTTGGGATTGCAGCATAATGCCATCACCGCTTCAGCATGTGACTGCAAACTCTTCAATTTACTGCCATGTGGTGAAACTAGTTCCCTTGTTTCTCCACGTCTATTTCCAACCACACTGTTAAAGAAATTAGGAAGATAAGCTTTGAAGGGGCTGTGTTAATAGGCGATTAACCTATAGCAAGCACAGATCTGCTGCCGACCAAGTGCCATCCCTGGCAAAATAAATTATATTCCAACAAGGTATAAAATCTCCTTGTTTCTGGAAGAACACGCCTGCCCCCCAAAAGAACATGCAATACTTGTCCCTCACTGTGCGGACAGACTTCAGCATCAATACTGAAAACCCACCTGTTTTAATTGTTAACTAAGCAGCGTGAGAGAGATTGTGTTAATCCCGGCTCTGTGCAAACCTGGCCGTAAGTGCTTCACTCCAGAATCAGTCTCTCACACATGAAACAACACGTAATATTTTGACGTTTTTCATTTGGCAAGCGGGCAACTAACTGAGCACGCCTATGCTACAGTTCCCTGGGTTCTCTGTGAGAAGCAGCACCACTCAAATAGGGTCAAAACCATGGGATATTTTATTGAATCCTGTCCACCTATTGGTCTTTTCATCACTTGCGATTTAGAGAGCCTCTACAGGTTATGAGAAAATTTAACTCAGTCAACAGGAGGTTGAAGAATTCTTTTGAGAGATGCATTCTAACCGATGTTAGATAGAGAACACCAAAAAAACTGAACTTACCAGCCAAGACCCCCTCATCATTAGCCCCATGAGGGCTGGAGATCTGCTAACTAAAACAGCAGACAATGCTGTCAAACCAACACTTCCTGCAAAATACATGTAGGTGGAACGGATTCTGTCTTTCACATACTGCGGCCAGATGCTGGAAACAAACAGAATATATTTAAATTATATGAATATGTTAAAGGGGGCAAGAATACAGCAAGTAGCAAGTTTGCACTCTGAAGGAAGAAAAAATGTTTTCAATACTTGCAATTCAGGCTTTCAATGTAATGGGTTTGTGACACTCCCTTTGCTCCCTTAATATAGCATGTGTTGTGGATATCATGTTAGTTATTAAGGTGACAGTAAAAAATACAATGTGAGGAATCTGAGACCATATTTCTCTGCAACCACATGTCTCTAGCCACAGAGTAGTTTTGGATCTCTCAGCTGGTTTTTTATCATTTGCCCATTGGGCAATTAATTTTTGTTCACTTTTACATTGTGTATTAGCTCAAAAAGGCACCTGTACAAAGGCATTTTAACAACTATGAGAAGGAAAGGTCCTCCTATTTCTCTCTCTCCTTTTTTTAAAAATTAGCAACATGCCAGAACCAGAATAGGGTAGGGATGGGGGTAGATTAAGGCGAGAAAATTCTCTTTAATAGAACCATTTTCTCTTTTGCTGTAACCATTTCTCCCCAAAATTTCTAGCCAATTATATTTCTGACTTCAAAACCCAAAATTTCAATGGCTACCGTTATGATTTATTCAAAAGACTAATAGCGATCAGAAAAGCACAGATGTTTCACATATCACACTTCCTCCTTGCATCCTAAACACAGAATAGGCCAACGGAATATGAACGACTCACATCTAGGATGGGCTGGAGAAGATGCATCTTTAAATACACCTACATAGCAGGAAAAGCATGGCTTCTTCTGCCCCTGTTATACCCAATCTGCTTCCCACAGAACACCGATTCTCTGCTCCACTGCTATTTGAGCACCATTTTTTCTTGGTTTCATTTTAAAATGATTTCAGTCATTTAGGGGTCACATTATGGATGGGATGGTGCCACTGAGGACAAATGAGGCCTTTTTAGAAAATGAGCTACGTTTCTTTCTTACAATGGTCACATAGATAATCCAAACCTGTCAGTGTTCACTCTATGGATTTAATGTTTTTCAACCAACCCCTAAAAAGTTGATGGGGAAATGCCACTGCTGACACCAAAATATTTTTGCAAAACACTCCCCACCCTAGCCCCCACCTAAACCCTCCTTTCGGCTCAGCCTGGGTAACCCGATTCTTGCTGAAACTCTGCCAGTTTCCAGGCTCAAAGCGGGCCTGCTGCCATCACAGGACAGAGGCCAGCCAGATCAGAACTGCTTGGCTCCTTTGCTGGCTGAACTCTGCCCCTGAAACATCCTGACTGGTAAAGCTAGACAGCGCCGGGTGGAGAAACCTTTCTGCCTCATCCAAACTCCCTCCAGCCCAGCCGACTGGGGGGTTGGGTTGCAGACAAAACCAGTAGCTTCTGTATCTTTTCGGTCACTGGTTTAGCAGAATCATTAATGACAAATCAAGAGATTCTTTCTGGTTCTGAGTCCCTCAAAGCAGAAGGGCACCACACATTTAATCACAGTTTTGTCATGTTCAGAAAAAGAAAGAAAGAGTGAACTTTCAAAAACACAGCTCTAACTATAGATTGATTTCACTGAAATTGCTTTTAACTGTTTTGTTGTGACCACAAGAACTCGACACATTTTGAGTATTTTACTTACATGGCCTTTTCAATGGCTCCGATCTCGTTGGACATCCCCAATCCGTAGTAACAAACTGCCCCAAGGCCGATAGCAGCACCTCCGGCGACAATCCATCTCCCCATTCGATCAACTGGTAAAGAGAATAAAATTAAGCTTACCCCATAAAACGTTTTCCCCATTTTGTGGCAACACCAATGCAATGTTATGATTTCAGAAGTAAGTAGTTTTCTCCTAAGAAATACACATTGAATAGCTGAACAAGTGAGTGAGTGGGTTGGTATGATTTATATGGAAGAAGCAAAGATCACCAGTGTCGAAGCGATGATTCTTTAACATCAACTTTAGAAGATTTCATTTGTATTCTTCTTGAATGAACACTGAAGTTTCTAGCTCTTCACTATGTACTTATGGCCAGAGAACTGAGAGAACTGCCATGCATCCTGTTTACTTTATGCCTATAATCTTTTGCCACGCATACAGAGTTCACTACCAATTGTTTAGAAGGGCAAAAGTTTCATACAATTAATGGTGCAATCCAAACCTTGGTTGCAAGAACCATCACTGCATCTGTAGCTCAGCTGCCCAGCAGTCAGGGTGGAGGAAGACTGCCATGCTAACCTTGAGCGATGGGGCCTGATGCCATCATGAAAAGGCAGTTAAACTGGCTCAGGATCCGACAGATCCCAGGGTGGCTCAGCCCTGGCCCTCTCCTGCCCTCAGAACCTCACATTTTGGAGCTTGCTGCTGGCTGCCACCAGCAGGGATCCCACCTGCACAGGGGCTGGTTGGTGAGACAGCCCAAATTGAACAGTCCTTTGCAAGGAGATTTGGATTGCACTGTAAACTTCTAAAAATAAGGAAACCAAGGACCATTTTAATAGAGCTGCAATAAAATGGCAATTATCCATAAGCCACAAGGCTGTTCCGAGATTTTGACCAAGAGGAATTGCTTTAAAGCACGTTACCCATACAGATCAGAACCACCATGCATACTAATAGGCTACTATGACAATTAGCTCATACTGCTTTGCAATGTATTCCAAAACCTATAATCATTCATCCCGCATGCTTCATATAATTATATCTAGGCAGAGGCAAGAGGAGGTGGGGATTCTGATGTGAGGACTCAGGCAAGATCACTTATTTGAAAGTCAAATGTCCAAAACAGTGTTTTGCCATGCGATATAAAATAAATGTGGTTTAGCTGGCGAAATTATATTTATATATTCGTGGTTTAAGAAATGAATGTACTGCAGAGCTCAGGTAGCTATAGGACATAAAACTGGAGTACATGATCTCCCAGAGGGATCAATGGATGAATCCTGCTGAGAGGCAGGATGGTGTATTCAGGAACCTGGCACAGAGTCCCTGTGCTTACAAGTCCCCGAATCCATAAGAAAGCTCTCAATCATACATATGCTATGTGTGTTATCTATAATGCTTGCCTGGAGTCTTTTTTTCAATTGTGCAAAGCAGGCAGTCTATAAGCCAATCTTAGGACAGTCCCTCTCCAATTTTGCCTGGGGCTACTTAAAAGACCTGTGTCCTGAATGGAAGGAGAGAGGAAGATGTTGTGGAGATCAGTTCTTCTGCCATCTTATTGTTTTCATTTTTTTTATTGTAACATAAACTGTCAGAAGTTTATTGGCACAAAGTTACTATGAGTGATATCCAACCAAGTTGCACTCAGACTTAAATCCACTGACATTGTGTGATTTGGGCCCCATTTAAAGCAGTATCATGTCACTTTAAGCAGTCATGGCTTCTCCCAAAGAATCCTGGGAACTGTAGTTCATTACAGTTGCTAAGAGTTGTTAGAAGACCCTTAATCCCCTCACAGAGCTACAGTTTCCAGAGAGGTTTAACCTGGGAACTATAGCTGTGTGAGGGGAATAGGGATCTCTTAACAACTGTCAGCACACTTAAGAACAGTTTCCAGCATTCTTTGGGGGAAGCCATAACTGCTTAAAATGATATGATACTGCTTTAAATGTATAGTGTAACTGGGACCTTAGCTAGATATCACCCTATGTAAATGCAACAAATAAAACAGTTTGCTAGAGGATCGCGAATCAAGTTTAAGAGATATTGATTGTATCAGTTTTGAAATAAATCAATTAAAAAATTGGCAATTGTGCTTTTATATGCTTTATCTGTATCATGGCTCTTTTTAAAACTTTTAAAAATTAAAGCCAAAAAGTAAAAATACAGAAAGTCATTGATTTGCCTCCACACTACTTTTGAGTGTTGCTTTGCCTCTCCTTTGTCAACCACAGTAAGTGAAATCTGAGAGAGATATACAGGTACCTTTTAACACTTTCTCCATTGATGGTTCAAAAGCCGCTTCCTTAATTTCTTGACCAGTTCTCCCCTTGCGTACACCAAACCTGGCTTTGGAGGCATATCCCTGTTACAACAAAAGGTAAGGAAAGAAAGACTCTAGATTGCTGTCAAAGGAACAGATGATAAATATGCCTCCAGTTAATCTGGAGAAACAGCATACTGCACAACAAGGATCAAATTAGGAGGAGTTGAACAATGGGGAAAGATAGCTGGAGTCTAACCATGTATCACACAATCATCTCCCAGTTTGCAGAAATATCAATGTGACAGGCCAAACTTACTCAACTGGGTCATTCACATGCATAATGTATGTATCAGGCCGTTCAAACCGTGGATAGGGGCATGGACTCCATGATGGGCTAAAAGAGGACCAACAAACTATGAATCCAGCAAAACAGGAGGCCTTGTGGGTGGGTGGTTCCTCAATCCGGAAAACTGGACTACTGACTGCTTGGGACAGGACTGTATTCCCCTTGAAGGAGCATGCGCCTGGTATGAGGGATGCTCCTGTATCCTGTAAGCATCCATATGACTTCCATGGCTAGGAGTGTCTTTTATCAGCTTCAGCTGGTAAGACAGATCTGTCTGTTTCTGGACTGGGATAGTCTGACCACCATTGTCCATATGTTGATAACCTCCAGACTGCATTACTGCAACGGGCTCCATGTGAGGCCACCCTTGACGTTGGCCCAGAAGCTGAAGTTAGTGCAAAATGCAGGAGCATAACTACTCACTGGGGCAGACAATGTTACGCTACTGCTGAAAGAATTGCACTGGCTGAAAATGAGTTAACATGCTACGTTTAATGTGTTAGTACTGGCACATAAATTCCTATACCCGCTCCATCACTGTGCTCTGCAGGAGAGGATGCTCTGTAGATACAATCTTATTGACAGCTCTGTTTTACAGGGTAGGAATCAGAATATCAGACCAGCACCACCTCTGCTGTCCCTTCAGCATCTACAGAAGACCACCCTCTTTCAACAAGCTTTTCTCCCACTCTGCATCTGTACTTTAACTACTTAAAGCTGTTTTTATATGTGGAATTGCTAAATGTTTGCTTTGTTTTTAATTCTGGATCTGTTTCACATGGTGCTGTTTTTACACGATTCCTCTTTTATGTTTACAACCATTTTGTTTTATATAATTGTATACTTTATTGTAGTAACTTGCGCTGGGACCTTAAAGTAAATGGCAGGCAGGAATCTATTAAAGTAAGTAAATAAATTCCACATTGGAACATACCACTAAGAAGTGGGGTCCATGAAGATAGTTGTGGGGTGTGCGTGCGTGCAAAGACAGGGCAGATTTTGGGCTGGCTTTGATGCAGCTGCATGAACATGTCAAGTTGTGCTGCCTTGACCGTGACCCATACTCTGCAGGGCTAGAGCTATTAAACAGAAACTGTCCAAATGTAAAAGAAAGTTATGGTTTTCTGTTCACATGAAAGGCTTCCAAGGATTAAGATCTTGGAGCAGATCCGTATGGTTTTAAGAAGCAAAAAATAGGCTACTTTAATTCATGTACTGAATGTATTAACTTGCACATAAACTGTTTTTAAAAGAGAAATCTCAAAACTAGTATAAGATTCCAAAGAGACACCTACCTTAGAAGGCTGCAAGAGCCAATGCTGTGTCTTTACAGCAGAATTTCTCAGTGCAGGTGAAGCCTGAAGGTGTGCAGGCCGTAGGCAAGGGAGAGCCCGAAGGCACACCAACCTTGCTGCCAACATGGCTGTGGTCGTCAATGGCAAAATTTTACCTGTAACAACATGAAAGAGAGTTACATAACAGCAACTGCACTGCAAAGCACAGCATGGAGCCAAAAATAATAATTGCTAACATCATTATATAAAAGAGAGCAGATATAGGAAGCTGCTTCCAATCATCCCTCTGCTTAACTGTTGAACCCAGTAGTTGCTGGAAGCAGCTCTTCAAGGTGCAACACATTTTTACCTGGAGATCCCAAGGATTCAAAACATAGGCAAGGTAAAGGTAAAGGACCCCTGGACGGTTAAGTCCAGTCAAAGGAGACTATGGGGTTGCGGTGTTTATCTCGCTTTCAGGCCAAGGGAGCCGGTATTTGTCCATAGACAGCTTTCTAGGTCATGTGGCTAGCAGGACTAAACTGCTTCTGGCACACGGAACACCGTGACGGAAACCAGAGTGCAAGGAAACATTATTTACCTTCCCGCCACAGTGGTACCTATTTATCTACTTGACTGGTGTGCTTTCAAACTGCTAGGTTGGCAGGAGCTGGGACAGAGCAACGGGAGCTCACCCCGTCGCAGGTATTCGAACGGCCAACCCTCTGTTCGGCAAGCCCAAGAGGCTCTGTGGTTTAGACCACAACGCCACCCGCATCAAGACATGCATGAAAATGTAAAGCATGGGCACAAACAATGTGCTACAGCCCATTCCCCTTTATGAATGAGAAGAGTCAAACTTCGATAAAAGTTAGTACTGAAAATTAAATTAGGACAGCAGACTGCCTTGAGTAGAAGCAGCTTTGTGTGTGTGTGTGTGTGGGAAAAATAAAGTTTACTCTGCCACTTTTGAATGTGTTCAACTCAGTTGCTGGGAAGGGGGATTCAAAAGAGATTATCCTCTTTCTTCCTTTGCAGTCTTTAAAACGGCAACATTTTAAAAAGGTATACTACAGTGTTTCTCTGGAAGTAGTTGCTGCAAGGCAGGAGCTGGAAGATGGCGACTTCAAGGCAAGGGGAGCTTTCCCAAAAGGTTTCATTTGCCACCCCGGTCATGTCCAGCTGCTGACGACATTATCCCCAGCAGCTGAGCTTCTCCTCCTTGCAGTTCTGTTTGCTGTGTTTTTATGGAGAGCCGGAAAGGGAGAGGATCCCAGCAGCAGAGTAGAATTCAAACCATTGTGATGCCACCATCTCTTAGGGATTCCACAGCCTGATAATCTGCCCACAGAATAGTGCAAGCTAAGTTTCAGTTACATTTGCCGCTGTGAAATTTTAAAGTGAAAACACACATTTAGGAGAGGGATAAGCAACTCTTTGGCCCTCCAGATTTAGGATTCTCATTGGGTATGATGGGAGGGTGTGGTCCAATAACAGAGGGCCACAGCTTCTACATCTCTCATCTACAAGGAATAAAGGAAAGACTTTATTTTGTTATTCCTGGTTTAAAGCTAAGCAGAGGTAAGACTACTCTCTTTTCACCTAGACTTTCCAAGGGACAGGGGTGGAAAGGCAGAAAGAAGAAAAGAGAAGCTAGGCAAACTGGAGTAAATATGATCCTTGCTTTGCCCCTTTATGTCGTTTTTCCATGTTGTTATTCTCAATCAGAAGCACGTGGAAAGAAATACTAATTAATGAAAATATACACAACCTCTTTGAAATTTACAATGTGGTCATATACAGTGGTACCTCGGGTTAAGAACTTAATTCGTTCTAGAGGTCCATTCTTAACCTGAAACTGTTCTTAACCTGAAGCATCACTTTAGCTAATGGGGCCTCCCACTGCCACCATGCCGCCGCTGCTCAATTTCTGTTCTCATACTGAAGCAAAGTTCATAACCCGAGGTACTATTTCTGGGTTAGCGGAGTCTGTAAACTGAAGCGTCTGTAACCCGAAGTACCACTGTAGACAGACTTGCAAGTCTGGCTGATCCCCAGAAACAGAACAGGGTCAGTAGAATACAAGAACCAAAAGGGTTTGTTGGAATGTGGTGAATACAGTTCTAAACCTTTCCAAAAGCTTCAAGCAAGTAAAGACTTTTTGTGTCTCGGGCAAAACACACACCAATCCAGTAAGCTGTTTAAGAGGCTGTAATTTAAATGACAGCCAAATAAAAGTGGCAAGGATTGCAGAGCTGTGTCACTAATACTTCCCATCCACTTTAAACCTGTTACATGGTTGCTACTGATCCCTTGAGGCTAAGCCACAAAAATTAAAGAAATATTTAACTTTCACCATAAACAAAAAAAACTATCCGGGGAACAGCTGAAGTCACAAGCTGGGTTGCTAATTTAGCCTTAAACTGGAGAAATCAGAAAAAATCAGACACATGATGATAATTCTCTCCTTACCCAAGGTTTTAAGAATTTAGCAGATTTTTTAAAAAATAAAACAAATCTTGTGAAGAGAAACGAAAAGAAATGGGAAACAAGTTGTGGTTGTTTAGCAACCACAAGTTAGATAAAATCAGTCCTTCTGTAAATAAAACCCATGAAATAATTTCTAAGGAACTAGGTAAGGGGAAGGAGGGGTAGTAATATGCATTTTCATGGTGCACTCATAAGTGAACAATACCACAGTCTGTATTTGCTATGAAAAACTGTCCAGTGGGTTTCGAATCTATTATACATCTGAGCCTCTGGCAGTCAATACTGAGCAGAAAAGCCTCATTTTGGTTACAAACCGTACTTACTTCTGAGTAGTAATACATAGGACTGCAGTGCAGATACACTTTTTGAAAGGTTCATGTATGTATAAGAAATATATCACAAAATTTTTGTTACGATAGGGCTGCCATACATCCTGGAATTTGCTTCCGAAAATGGAATCCTGGATTATTTTTTTGAAATTGGGCAAATGTCCTGGAAAACCAGCAAAATTGAACCAAAAATGCTTTTAAAAAGCTCCAAAATCCAAAAAACTCTTGTAACTTTTACAAAAAAAGCTGATAGTTGTTAGTTCCCTTCAGAAACAAAAACAAGCTCAATAACTTTGTCCTGAGTTTCACTTTTGGAGATATGGCAACGCTAGGTTTGTCAACAACTTTTGTTGTTCAACAATTTTGGTGGTTTCCTTAAAAAAAGAAAAAAAAGAAAACTTTTAGGATGTCCTGGTTTTTACTTTTTGAAATACGGCAGCCCTAGTTAAGACCTTCTAAAAACAAGAGGGAGCAGCTACAGATGAAAGCAACACAGTAACCATTTCTGTCACAAAGCCCGTTAACTAACATAAAGTAAATGCTGAGTCAAGGCTGTATGATGTAATAAGGAGAAAGACATGCATGCATGCATGCATACAAGGATGTCCACCAAGCCTTGTAATCCTCAAAATAGAGGAATAGAGATTGATGCTGAAACTTTCAACCAAAATAACATTATTTCTGTGGTCCCCACAGATCAATGATACAGTCGCTGAATGTACCAAATGCAAAGGATCAGCAAGAATGGGCAATTTCTTAGCGGAACCAGTCACTTTTATTCTTTCAGTTGCTGTCCTACGTGGGCTTGGAGCAGTGTTCGAAACTCCCACTGTACTAGGCCTCTCCACTTCCAGCTACTCGCTTAAGACTAGAGAAGGGACCCTCTTAAGAATATTAGGGGGATGGGCAGGGGAAGGACTAGACCAAGTGAAAAATGAACATAATATTTTAGCTGCAGTTCATTCATTTTCAGCTTTGTATTATTCTTATTAAAAAAGAGTGCCTAGACATTCTGTTGTTGCTCCCATAACTTAGGCTAGGCTTGCCCTGCGTCAGGAAAATTCCTGACATGTCCTGGTTTTGGCGTGCAAAAACTGCGTCAGGGGGTGTGTGTGGATTTTGCCGAAGTGGCAAAATATCATGGAAAACTCAGCTATATGGCAACACGATGGGAAATTTCTCCCAAAAGCTTAACAATTTGGGTTTGTTCCCCCCAAAAAGTCTCCAATTTTGTTCTTAGAAGAAGCTCCACAATTTGGGTGGTTTCTAATAAAAAAAGCTCCACAATCTTGGTGGGTTTACTAAAATAAAGTTTCACAATTTTGGCGGTTTCTAAAAAAAAAAAAATAAGCTTGACAATCTTGGTGGGTTTCCTTAAAAAAATGCTCCACAATCTTGGTGGATTCCTAAAAAAAAATTAAAAATGGTCGACAATTTTGTTGGTCTTCCAAAATAAAGCTCGACAATTTTGGTGAGTTTCCTAAAATAAAGCTTCACAATTTTGGCGGTTTCTAAAAAATAAGCTCGACAATCTTGGTGGGTTTCTAAAACAAAACAAAATAAAACCTCCACAATTGGTGGAATTTTACTTTTTGGAATATAGCGAGCCTAACCTAAGTGCCATTGAGCTAATATCTGCGTATACGCATTTAATATCTGCGTGTATTTTCGCTTCCTCACACGGGGACTATTCCCACCCGTCCCTCTCCTACCTGTGAACACGGAAACCCTCCCGGAGCAAAGAACGGCCACAGGGGGAAGCGCTGCCCCGCCCCACCCCCCGCCAAAATAAACCGATTCCACGCCGAATTCCGACCTCACTCACCTACCACCGTCCGTCTCGCTCCGCGTTTGACACCAGGAAACGGCGCCGGCGCAAAGCCTTCTGGGAAGAGCGGCTCTGCTCACGCGCGCTGTTTTCCACCTCTCCCTCGTAAGGCTCGGCCGGCCATTTTGACTGAGGGCAAACTAGGACGCTTCCCTTCCCGACGTCTCGGCGAAAGGCCGCTGCCGTCGCCGCGGAAACGCCTAGAGCGTGCGTCATGCGGCGGGGGGGGAAGGGGGCATCCATCTTTGTTCCGGGTATGGGAAGCTGCGGACCGCCATGTTGGATGAGGGCAAGCGCCTCTGGGTCGCTTTGTACGGAGGGGGGGAGGGAGGGCAGAGAAGAAATGTGCAAACAACCAACCAGCAAATGCAGAATTTTTAAAAGTTCATTTATGATTTTCATCTACAACAGATAAATATTTCAACAAAGAAAATGAAACTGTGCAGCATCTTTTTTAAGTTCATTTTTTTATTTTCATTTACAACAAATAAACATTTCAACAGAGAAAATGAAACAACCATAAATTATTTTATTTTATTTTTTGAAAAAGCAGCTTCCCTCCCCCTCTCTCTGCGGTTCCGTGAATTTATTTCCTCCCCCCCCCCCGCATCTCCCAATTAACTCTAATTATCCCTTTTCTCATCTATTTCATACATGTTTTAATAACTGCAAGTTTCTGCAATAATCCTGCTAATGTCTTAATTTGTTTGCAATTTATTGCGGCAGTAGCTGCATACATACATAAATTTCTATATTGTTTAGGTAATTCTGATCCTATACTCCCCAAGAGAAAAGCTTCTGTTTTGTTTTTGTTTTAAAAAACCCCCCAAATGTTATCTTAAACATCCTTTTCATTATATATCATTTCCCAATAAGCTTTAACTTTATTGCAAGACCACTGCATACGGAAAAAGGTGCCTTCTTTCTCTTTACATTTCCGACACTTAATCGATTTGGATTTGTACATTTTTGCCAATCTGCTAGGTGTTTAGGCACCGTCTATATAACATTTTCACATAATTTTCTCTTAAACCATAACATGCTGTCAATTTTATACCCATGTTCCAAAAGCAGCATCTTCACCAGCTTCCATAAAAGCAGGAAACTGGCTAAAGAGGGACAGCGCTTAAAGAAAATCGGCTGTATTTAAGGGAAAATGAGCATATGGAATTCAAGTGCCTCTGAGCATACGTCCCGGATTTCTGTCTTTGGTTTTTTAAAAATACTTTTCAAGTTTACACATTTCACAAATTTTATACATTTCTCTAATTTTACAATCATTTTGACATTTCAAAACTTCCTTCCCCCTCTTTCTGCAGTTCCTTAAATTTATTTTTAATATCTTCTGCATAGCCAAATTAACTAAATTAAGGTTTTCTTTTCTCTTCTCCTCCGGAAAAGGAGCGAAGGGGGGCAGAATGCCTCTAGACATGTGCAGAGTGCCTTCCCTTTGTGAGGGGAGCCAATGGTGAAAATGGTGCCAAACGGTGCCTCTGAACATGTGCAGCTCTTTTTCGCAAAAGCTAAAAAGAAACAAACAAGCCAGAACCCACAGATATAGAGATTGCCTCTGAGCTTGTTGCAGCTAGAAGGTTGCATTGAAAAAAGCATCTTATTCAAAACAGATAAATTGCAGTTCGGAAAAAACCCGCTACATGCAAACACCTTTTTCTTGCTTAATAGTATCGGCAACTGGCCAATATGCCACTTTCTGGTTGTGAAAAATAGAGCACACATACGGTAGTTGTGGTTAGTACATTTTATGAGCGGAACAAAATTACTTTTTTTCTGCAAGTGTAACTCTCTTTCTAAACTGAAGACCGTTAAGGATAAGTTCAAATTTTGGTTTCTGCTGGAGTTGGAAATCCATAATCCTTTGGAGATCCACAGGATTCTCATCCCTGTTTTTTAATCTGCTCCAGATGTTTCCTAGCAGCAGTTATTGGGCAGTCTGGTTTGTAAAATTTCGATTCTAGGCCGGAGAGATTTTCAGATTGCCAGTGGTGCATCCATTTGCAAGCGAATACCAAGTGAGCTCGCCCTGCCTAGCTCTTATGCGTTCTCTTTGCCTTGCCAGCCGCCTTAAAGAAGACAACAAAGCATACTTCGCCAAACCTTTATTTGGCATTACAAATATAGGCCATCGGAAACATCCATATATCAAAATGTAAAATATATACGAATAAACAGCTGTGTAAAAAATAGGTAGTAGCAAGGATTTTAAATGGGAGTTTCTTCCTGCTAAATATGGCCATTTGCCACTCTAAGAGATACTCTTGAAAAAAACTGATAAAAACTCAGCCACCCTTGCAGTTAAAGGTAAAGGGTAAAGGGACCCCTGACCATTAGGTCCAGTCATGACCGACTCTGGGGTTGCGGCGCTCATCTCGCTTTATTGGCCGAGGGAGCCGGCGTACAGCTTCCGGGTCATGTGGCCAGCATGACTAAGCCGCTTCTGGCGAACCAGAGCAGCGCACGGAAACGCTGTTTACCTTCCCGCCGGAGCGGTACCTATTTATCTACTTGTACTTTGATGTGCTTTTGAACTGCTAGGTGGGCAGGAGCTGGGACCGAGCAACGGGAGCTCACCCCATCGCGGGGATTCGAACCACCGACCTTCTGATCGGCAAGTCCTAGGCTCTGTGGTTTAACCCACAGCGCCACCCGGCACCCTTGCAGTTACTTCTGGGTTAATGTCAGAATCTGACATTTTCATTGTGTCATGGTGTTAGACTACCCAAAAAAGGGGAAAGCACACATTTGCGTAGCTGGTTGTACAATGGACAGCAGAAAATGATATGTTCTACTGTGTCTGCCACATTCAAATAATACCTGCAATGTATATCATTTCTGGGGATGTTTAAATACCTGCCCTTGACAAAACACAACTTGAAAAAGAGACAATGCACGTATTTTTGTAAATTAAGAAATCTTTAATAAACACATTTTTTTAAAAAAAGCTGAGGAAAAATGTTCAGTCGGGCTAACATAAAGGCCCTGCGTTGGACTGGAATTATTAATTTTGAAATACAGTAAGTGACCCTGTTATTTGTTGTATTTAAACCATAAAACTTGAGGAGAAAAAAACGACAAAATATATTTAAATGTACCCAAATGCTGGAGCCATGAGAGCAGCAAACAACCCCGTAATTGCATTAACAAATAGGGTGGTTATGAAGTTTGAAATGCAAGCTTACAGCTCTGGCGTGCCAGTTGGTTCCCTCTGCAGAAAAAACCAAACCAAACCGACAACTTTATCAATTGTTCACACGGCTGTGTTCATCAGCAGAAAATAAATGAGTCTGTGCTTAGCACAATTTCTCCTCAGAGCAAGCTGGCTCGCTGAAGTTTTTCAAATGAGATCAGAAGCGCAGGGTGGTGGGGAGATACCAAAAAAAGAAGTGTAGCATTCTGGAGCCCGGCTGACTCTTAAGCATTCCAGATGCCTCTGCTGGCATACTGCACAAGATTTGGGGATTTATCTATTGCTGCCATTTAATAAGAAATTCGGCTCCTATTTTAGGCTAGATAATAAATAAAGGAGTGTGGGGATTTGAGGAGACAATAGCAGTATCTATTGCCATCGCTGTATCTCACAAATGGGAAAGGGAAAAGAGTTTTCTATTAAAAAGACCGAGCCCTTCAGGATTGCCACGGTTCCCCGTCTCATGACAGAGCGGTTTAAAACGTAGCCACTCTCAAATTTCAGCTGGGGGAATTCAACGGCGTACTTAGGGAACATAGGAAGTATGCACATGGAACCAACCCTGGTCCACCTTGCTTAATAATTCTTTCTGTGTATGTACATGTTTTAAATGGACCTGTGGGTACCTGCTTCTTTATGAGTGAAACTATGTTTTTGGGATGGGGAAGGAGGCAAGGTGCTCCATTTTAAAATGGGTCTGACAGACAGATTCCCAAATAATAACAACAACAACAGCAAGTTTTTCTTTGTATAATTTTTTGGAATAGTTTTTATTAAGTTTCCAGTTTAACATCTCAAAACAAACATTTTACATAACACCATATAATCAGTGACTTCCCTCCTTCCCCTTCCATTTTAGTTGTCTATATCATTTCTGCATATTTTACTATAACCATTTTGGTCAGTTCTCCAAACCTACATCACTGAAATATTAACCAAACAGTCAAATTTATCCTACTGCTGCCAGTGTTTTCAACAGTGCACAGCTATTCTCCATATACGCGGCAAAAGTTTTCCACTCCTCTTTAAATGCATGTCCTACTTGTTCTCTTAAGCTAGACATCAAACCTATAATTTCCGCATATTCTATCATCTTAAGTTGCCAGTCTTCCTTATGTGGGACCTAACTCACTTTCCATTGTTGGGCTAAGTTTTTATTTTTATGCCACCCGTCTGACTAGGTTGCCCCAGCCAATCTGAGCGACTCCCAACAAAAGAACAGTAAAAACACAATACAACATCACACGCTAAAAACATCCTTGCCTTTTGATGTCTTTTGAAAATCACAAAGCTGTTTGACATCTCCTGGGAGGGCGTTCCACAGGGCGGGCTCGACTCCCAAAAAGGCCTTCTGCCTTTTGTGTGATTCCTTGCGGCAGAGATGACCCAGTAGCTTTTCTTTACCTCCCCTGTGATCTTTCTTAAAAAACACACAAATATTTGGTTTTTCAAGTTAAAGTTTTACGGAGATATATCAAACATAAATCATCAAAACAAGATTCCAAGGAATCTCCTGGACTTCCATCCTCCCCTTTGTGGGTCCTATTATTAATCAGTTCCTCCCACATCTTTTATGATAATCAAAACCCTTTACCTCTTCCATTATGTCCAGAATTCAACCTTAAACCACAAGTGATATTCCAATCCTACTAACTATTTTAACTGTTTACTTTTTTTATATAAGATATTTATTAAAGTTTCAACATAATAAAAAAATAAGCGAAAAAAGAAAGAAAAAAAGGGAAAAAAAGAAAATGAAAATACAAAATAAAAACAGTTAAAAAACAGATTAGTCTTTCCATATCTTAACTTTCATTTGCTTGTTTCCCCGACCTCCTCACACCTCCCTTTTTTGTATTCCTGTTCAAATTAGTTAATTCAGCAAATCCTTTCCCTCTTTGATTCTATCTTAATCTTTTATCTTAATATATTGTAACTTTAGATTATCACCTGTTAACAATCCACTTTTACATATTCCT